ATTTTACTTTTCCACTTCTTTTTATAATAATAATATAATCCTTGCATTTGATATAGCGCCTTATCCCGTCTTCGAGACGTCTCAAAGCGTTTCACAGAATATGCTGTGAAAGTGAATTGACTGTATATTTTGTGGGAGAAATGCGGCAGCCAATTACACACAGCAGTGTCCCACAAACAGTTTATCCATTATACAGTTAACCGATGTCTATTCCACCTTGTTTAATAAAAAGAACTTTGTGTTTTGTGTTTGATTTATATAACTATCCTTGAAATTGAGAGGCTTTGGCGTTATATCGGCGCAATATCAAAGTGCTTCTCGGTGGAATTGCTTTCAAGCGTAGTGACTGGGTATTTCAAGGCAAACTTTGCAGCCGTGTTGCACATAACAAGGCCCCATAACCAGCCAGTGGAGGCTCCCTCAGTACAGCACTAGAGTGTCAGTCTGAAGTTTATTATTATTTGTATACGCTAAACTTATTTGATACTCCCTCAAATAAGGCGTTGTTATAATAATAATAATAATTCTTGCATTTGATGTAGCGCTTTTCACGTCGGGAGGACGTCCCAAAGCGCTTCACAGAACACACTGTAAAGTGAATTGACTGTATATATGTGGGCGAACGCGGCAGCCAATTGCGCACAGCAAATGTCCCACAAACAGTCATAGATTGAAAATGACCAATTTATTATTATTTTGGGTTTTGGAGGGAATATTATTAGATGTGTGGAGTAAGGAAACTTGCCCAAGGTTTTGCCCTCTGCCTGGAATTGAACTCAGGTCTCTTGCTTGCAAAGCGAGTTCTCTAATCACTGAGCTACAGGACTCCATGTTAAAAATAAAGGAGGGAGTTTCTCCCTCCTGGTGTCCTGGCCAACAATTACCCCAAATAGAATTGGTCGCTCACTCTGTGGTTGTTTGTGGGACATTGCCGAGTGCGACTGGCTGCTGCTTTTCACTCCCAAAATTACAGTCACTGCACTTTGCAGCCTCTTCTATGAAGCGCTTTGAGACATTTTGACAACGTGATAGGTAAAGTGCTATATCAAATGCAAGGATGATGATGACGTTGAGATGAACTCCTGACGTGTGGCTTGAACCAACAACCTTCTGACCCAAAATAAAGCAATTGCTCTCAACTGAGTCAGCCCGACCCTGCTGCCTGGGGACTTAATGCCTTTGTGCTCATAGAGCCTTGGCAGCTCCGGATTGTGTACTCTTGAGACACTGCTTACAATAGGGACTGGAATAGAAGCCGATTACCATCAGGAAGAAGGAGATCTTCACCACATAGTGTGACCTAGCACAGAACCATGCTATGAGATTACAGCCTGAATGAAAGTGCAGATTGCTGCTTCAGGGCTGTGTTTTATCATTTGCTTTTAAAGAACATCATCCTAAATACCGATGAGGAGAGCTCTCTTTCCCGGCGGGAAATAAAAGTCTGTTTTACAGTAGCATCTCAGATTTATTGGTGGATTTATCATGGATGCTATTCGATAGAATCAAACTTCGCACCTCAGGGAAGAAATCTTATTGTTATAGTCTTGGAGTCTAAGAGAACTGTGGTTACCAGAGAGGTATCAATTCTATTAAGGATGCATAATTCAAAAGGAGAGTTAAATCAACGGATTCTGATCCGTTACTACTTGCAGCTATTATTGTTCCATTATAGTCTTCACTATCTTGTGTACCAAACTGCTGTACAGGCTGTGTAGATGCCCAACACATTTTCCATTTCTTGAGGAGTCTTGAGATAGCGGTTAACACGCTCACCTCGGAAGTGAAAGGGCATTTATTTATTATTTATTTACATGTACAATTATTTAAATAAATAAGCAATAATAACTTGGCCACTCAATCCACGACTGTTTGTGGGACACCGTTGTGTGCAATTGGCTGCCGCGTTTCACCCACAAAAATGTGGTCAATTCACTTTACAGTATATCCTGTGAAGCGCTTTGAGGCGGCTCGACAACATGATAAGGAGCTACATCAAAGGCACGGATGATTATTATTATGCCTTCAGCTCGGAAGAAGTGGCTCAAGAGGAGATCAGAGAATCATAGAGAGGACAGCACAGATGGAGACCATTTATCCACTGGAAGCTTAAATTGACACAAGCTCAAGGGAAAAAATTCTCTCAAGAGTTTCTACAAAACTTCGGCTAACAATCCTCCATATTAATTGGTCTTTCATCTTGTGGCTATTTATCTCCTTGCTTGTGGAAACTGCTGCTATGTTGGCCAACAAAGCAGTTGCTTACTCTTAAGAGAGAATAATATTCCAATTATTAAATGTAACATTCATGTCACTCGGTCTGGATCTCGGGGAAGTGTTATTTTATTTCTGCCCCAAAAAAGCACTTTTCTGGTAAATCCTGTGAAACGCTTTGAGCTTTGGCAGCTACACAATGCAAGGACCATTATTCTGCAAAGCGACAGTCAGCCTCACCCTTTGCTCAGCGTGTTCTGATGCAGTGTGAAACCATAACATGATTGCAGTCATTCCACCCTAACCATGAGGGCTTTGGGCTGCAGTGTTAACAACAACAACCACAACAACAAATTGCATTTAATATCGCACCTTTCACATCGGGAGGCCATCTCAGCTCCCGCTAACCCTAAAACCAAAGTACTAAAGGGATTATAACAGCCCAATGTCTTCTGTTAAGCAGCAGTAACTATAATAATCCTGGCATTTGATATAACGCCTTAGCACACTGTCCATTCGTCTCAAACGGTAATGATGGTGTATTTTGTAGGTGAACGCGGCAGCCAATTGCACACATCAAATATCTTGCAAAAAGCCGGGAAGCCGACAAAATTATTATCTGGGGGACTGTGGGGCAGAGACACAGCAGGAGGGACATTTAGATTTTTTTTATGGCTTTTCCAATAGCTCCGCGGGAACTTTAACATCCACTCGCACACGTTACAACACGGAACTCATCGCCAGATGGGGGTGGAGTGGCTTCCAACAACAACAACAAGATCGCATTTATAGAGTGCCTTTCACGTCAGGAGGACATCCCAAGGCGCTGAAATGTGGGAGGGAGGGAGTGAATGAAAAGGAGGGAGTGGTGGAAGGAAGGAGGGAGTGGCAGGAAAGGGAAAGGAGGGAGTGAATGAGGGCAAGAGTGGGGAAGAGTGTAAGAGAGGGGAGGGAGTGAATGAATGAGGGAAGTGAGGGAGTGAGGAAGGGAGGGAGTGAAGGAGTGTGTGTGGAAGGGAGGGAATGAATAAGAGAGGGAGGGAGGGAGTGATAGGAGGGGGAGAGAGAGAGAGAGGAAGGGAGGGAGGGAGGGAGGGGAGACAAGTTGCGGTTTATAATAAGGTGAAGGCAGTGCAATCCATCAGGAAAAACAGTGCAACTGCAGGTGTACATTGTGGGCTTTGCAAAGGACAAGTCAGCCTGAGTGCTCCTAAACACCACCCCCCCCCCACCCCCCCTCTGTCTCTCTGCACAGACACACACACCCCTCCCTCTCTCTCTCTCTCTCACAGACACCACATACACTCAGAAAAGCCTGTCTGAAGCTTGCAAACTCACAGCACAACTTGGGAGGGAGGGAGGGAGGGAGAGAGAGAGAGAGAGAGCTTCGCATCATCTTGTCCTGAGAGCTCAGCATCAGCACCAAACAGCAACAACACAGACGAGAGGGAGAAGAGAAGGAGACAAGAGAGGGGGAGAAAGAGAAAGAGAGAGAAAGAGAGAGAGAGAGCAGCCTACTTGCCCACCAGCTTTCGCTTAGACCCTGAGCAAAAGGGGGAAGAGAAGCTTTTGCATTTCCAGCACGATTCTGCATCGAAACCCTCCTTCCCTCGAAAAATCCCAGAGGTGTTTAACCCAAATTGTGCGCTATATTTATATATATTATATTATTATTATTATTATTATTATTATTATTATATGTGTGTGTGTACATGTCATGCATATAATGCAATGCAATCCGCTTTGCTGTGATGCTTTCTTTGCTGTGCGTTTGGTGTAACTTATTGCTGGAGAGAGAGAGAGAGAGGGAGGGAGAGAGGGAGAGAGAGAGAGAGGGAGAGAGAGAGGGTGGTGGTGGTGGTGTGGGGGTGGGGAACGAATGAAGCAAGATTGCAATCTGTGCAAATTAAGCGCCTTTCGCTTGTGCTGTGTTTAAAGCGCCTCTCTCTCCTCTCACACTTTGTCTTTCTCCCTCTCTCTCTCTCTCTCTCTCACACACATCCTCTCTCACACTCTCTCCCTCACTCTCTCTCTCACACACACTCTCACTCTCTCCTCTGTCACTCTCTCCCTCTCACACACTCTCCCCCCCTCTCTCTCTCTTTGTCACTCCCTCCCTCTCTCTCACCCTCTCTCCTCTGTCACTCTCTTCCTCCCTCCCTCTCACCCTCTCTCCTCTGTCACTCCCTCCCTCTCACCCTCTCTCCCTCTCTCTCTCTCACCCTCTCTCCTTTGTCGCTCCCTCCCGCTCTCTCACCCTCTCTCCCTCCCTCCCTCCCTCCCTCTCTCTCTCTCTCTCTCACCCTCTCTCCTCTGTCACTCCCTCCCTCTCTCTCTCACCATCTCTCCTCTGTCACTCTCTCTCTCTCTGTCACTCACTCCCTCTCTCCCTCCCTCTCTCTCACCCTCTCTCCCTCCCTCCCTCCCCCTCTCTCCCTCCCTCCCTCCCCCTCTCTCCCTCCCTCCCTCTCTCTCTGTCACTCTCCCCCTCTCTTCCTCCCTCTCTCTCTCTCTGTCACTCCCTCTCTCTCTGTCCCTCTCTCCCTCCCTCTCTCTCCCCCTCCCTCCCCCCCCCCCCCCCCTCTCTCTGTCACTCTCTCTCTCTGTCCCTCTCTCCCTCCCTCCCTCCCTCCCCCTCCCTCTCGCTGTCACTCTCCCCCTCCCTCCCTCCCTCTCTCTGTCACTCTCTCTCTCTGTCCCTCTCTCCCTCCCTCCCCCTCCCTCTCTCTGTCACTCTCCCCCTCCCCTCCCTCCCTCCCTCTCTCTCTCCCCCTCTCTCTGGTGTAGGGTGTGAGTGTGTGTTGGCACTATGGATGGGGTTGGAGTTGGAGATCTCTCGGGTTATCTGAACGGTTCCAGTGATGACAATTACGGGTTCGCCGCGGATCAGTGGTCGGACAACAGCAGTGACCCGATAGCGGAGTGGGAACCCGCCATCAGGACCACCATCATCACTGTGTATCTGCTGGTCTGTGTGGTGGGGCTACTGGGAAACTGTCTGGTCATGTATGTCATTGTCAGGTAAGTCTCCACTGACACACACACACACACACACACTGACACACACACTGACACACACAGACACTGACACACACACTGACACACACACTGACACTGACACACACACTGACACACACTGACACTGACACACACACTGACACACACACTGACACTGACACACACACTGACACACACACTGACACTGACACACACACTGACACTGACACACACACTGACACACACACTGACACTGACACACACTGACACTGACACACACACTGACACTGACACACACTGACACACACAGAAACTGACACACACACTGATACACTGACACACACTGACACTGACACACACACTGACATACACACTGATACACTGACATACACTGACACACTGACACACACTGACACTGACACATTGACACACACTGACACACTGACACACACTGCTACTGACACACTGACACACACTGATACTGACACACTGACACACACTGACACTGACACACTGACACACACTGATACTGACACACTGACACACACTGACACTGACACACTGACACACACTGATACTGACACACTGACACACTGATACACTGACACACACACACTGACGCTGACACACTGACACACACTGACACACTGACACACACTGACACTGACACACACACTGACACACACAGACACTGACACACACACTGATACACTGACACACACTGACACTGACACACACACTGACACACACACTGACACACTGACACACACTGACACTGACACACACACTGACACACTGACACACACACTGATACACTGACACACATACACACTGATACACTGATACACACACACAGACACTGACACACACATACACTGACACACATACACTGACACACACTGACACACTGACACACACACACTGCCACACACAGACACTGTTTGTGGATGGCATTTCAATCCTCAGTAAGGTAAGTGAGCAAGTGATGATTGACCTGCAGAGTTAATACATAAACAGTGTTATTTAACGAGAAGCCAATATTCTGGTCTCTCTCAGCTTCACTCTCTCAGCCTTCGGGCGCCTCCTGAAGGAGGAAAAGCTATATGATAACAGCTCGAAATACACAGCAGAATATTTTGCACAATGCAGTAAATAATGCTCAGTGAGACAGCGGTTTATATACTGTATTATATACTCCCACTGGATAACTCACCTTCCAGCCAGACTGATGTCTGATCTCTTAACAGGAATTAATGTGACTATTGATGTGGGTATAAATCTTACGGTATATTTATATGTATATATAGATGTATATAAATCCACCTTACAATATATTCTGTGAAGGGCTTTGAGACGTTTCAATGACGTGATGAGGATATATATTTATGTGTACATATACTTATATATCCTTATCACGTCGTCGAAACGTCTCAAAGCCTTCACAGAATATATTGTAAAGTGGATTTATATGTGTATCTTACTGTGTAGATATAGAGAGAACTCTGATATGATGAAATGAGAGAAAACATTTTCCTGGTGTGTTTTTGGTTCTGCATTTGGAAGGTGAGAGTAAGATTTTGTTCCCACAAAATACAGTCACTCCACTGTGAAGCACTTTGAGACATCTCAATGACGTGATTTAAGCGCTAAATCAAATGCAAGGAGTATATTTCCATGGAGTGGAGTCCAGTGTATTTAATTCACAGTCCTTTGTTTCATCCTCTTTTATAAAAGATAATTTGTTTCCAACATCATAGCGCAAAAGCAGGTTACATATTCAATGATTATGATAAATCTAAATGTCCCTTTAATGTATATTTGTTGTTATTATTGTTGTTTTTAATTATTTTTGTTATTCAAGTGCATTAAGCAAAAAGGTTTGAATTTCTCTTCTCGTCGCTCTTCACTCTTCACCAAATGCAACTTATTAATAATAATACTTGTATTTGATATCAAGCCCTATCTTGTCATTGAGACATCTCAAAGCAGTTCACAGAATATACTGTAAAGTGAATTGACTGTGTATCTTGTGGGCAAAATTGGTTGGATAGCAAAGATGATTGCAGTGCAAGTACATTTTTATCAATCTCACAGTGTGTACTGGGCTACTGTGGCTTTCACTAAATGTAAGATCATAACCTTTCCCCCCATCTGATACACCAAATTAATTGCAGACAGTCCTTCAGCAATGAGGTTCTTCCCCTCTCCCCACCACCGCCCCAATCCATTCCCCCAAATACAATCGTTTTTTGGTGTAAACAGTATAATAATTTGATCCATGACTGTGGGATATTGCTGTGTGCAACTGGCTGCCACGTTTCGCTCACAAACTACAGTCACTTTACGGTACATCCTGTGAAGCTCTTTGAGATGTCTCGACGATGTGGTAAGGCGCTTCATAAAATGCATCAATTATTATGATTATTATTATACAAGTCTCAGTAATAATAATAATAATAATAATAATCCTTGCATTTGATATAGCGCTTTTCACGTCGGGAGGACGTCCCAAAGCGCTTCACAGAACACACTGTAAAGTGAATTGACTGTATATTTGTGGGCGAACGCGGCAGCCAATTGCGCACAGCAATGTCCCACAAACAGTCGTAGATTGAAAATGACCAATTTATTATTGTTTTTGGTTTTGGAGGGTTTATTATTAGGCTCTGTGTGGAGTAAGGAAACTTGCCCAAGGTTTCGCCCTCTGCCTGGAATTGAACTCAGGTCTCTCACTTGCAAAGCGAGTGCTCTAACCACTGAGCTACAATCTGGTGTCCTGGCCAACAATCCCCGCTCCCCAAGATGAAATTGATTGTTCACTTCACAGCTGTTTGTGGGACGTTGCTGTGCACATCTTCTGAAACGCTTTATGACGTCCTCCCAACGTGGAAGATGTAACAGCAAATTATTAAGCATTGCTCTGTTATTCAAATGCTATTCTAATTAAAAACGTGGCAAGTATAGCATTCAGAAGTTATTTCAACCAAATCTAAATACAAAACATATTGCACAGTGCTTAATTTCAGTTTACTCAACTCTCTTTACTTACAAAACATAATGTTACCACAGCTGGATGCAATTTCATTCTATTAAGCATTTAATTAATACATGCAAGTTTGTGTACAAACTAAAGATGTAAGCCTTTAGTGAATTGCATTCATTTGCAAAACCCCAGTTAACTATTTGCGAATTAATGTGCTCTTTGATTTTATGCATCCGTTTCACAGTTGACCGACACAAAACATCAAAAGGAAGCTTTGTGTCAAGGCTTCTGGCTTAATTTGTCACAGACGGAATAATTGTGGGGGTTATTGTTCAATAAAGCAAAAGATTTATTCCCATTTCAGACAGCCAAGTTGATAATAACAATCCTTGCATTTGATATAGCGCCTTATCATATCGTCGAGATATCTCAAAGCGCTTCACAGAATATACTATAAAGTGGAGTGTCTGTATATTTTGTGGGTTAAACGCGGCAGCCAATTTGAGCGCAGCAGCGTCCGTCCCACAAACAGTCGCGGAGTGAGTGACCAATTTTATTTTGGGAGGAATCGTTGGCCAGGACACTGGGAGGAGAACATTGTAGATTCAAGCCCCACGTCGGACTTGGGATCACACAAACTAAACTGACACTTCAATGCAGCGCTGGGGACTGTTGCATTGTCGGAGGTGCCGTCCTTCAAGATGAGGTATTAAACCGAGACCCCGTCTGCCTATTCAAGTGGAAGTTAAATATCCCGCGGCGCAATTCAAAAAGAGAAGAACGTTTCTCTCTTCCCGGTGTCCTGGCCAATAATCCCCCCAAACCAAAATTGGTCACACACTCCATGGCTGTTTGTGGGACGCTGCTGTGTGCAAACCTGGCTGCTGCAAACCACAAAATACACAGTCAGTATTTACAGTATATCCTGTGAAGCGCTTTGAGACGACTCGATGACACGATAAGGTGCTATATCAAATGCAAGGATTATTATTATTGTAGTGTGTAGGAACTCAATACACAGAAATAATTCAAGAGAATTTCTGTATCTACCTCCCATGAGATACGATCTTCCAGCTCTACGCCTCTGTATGGTCTCTGTTCATTTCCCAATACTTCACCGAAACCAAAGTGCCTCTCTTGTCTTTATTAGCTAAAAGCACACTGTTGGATTTTTTTTCTTGCAACACAGATGTGGCTTTGCTCACAGACCAGCACTGCAGTCTGACTGCCAGTACTCACTCCAGACAAAACACTATATCACACAAGGCTGTTATCGACATCAAGGGATTAAATGTTTCTTTATTAAATAAAAAAAACTCCAGTACATTTTACGCAGGACTACAATGGTTCCTTTATACCAGCTGAATCCCAGGAATCCATCCTAAATTTTATTGCCGTTTAAAAAAGCATTTTGATCATTGATGGATGGGTAACCCAGCTAGCAATCCCAGTGTACATCTGCACATTCCCACAACTACTGTGCACCATACCTATAATAATAATAATCCTTGCATTTGATACTTTTCACGTCTTTTGATGTCTCAAAGTGCTTTACAGGATATGCTGTAAAATGAATTGACTGTTTATTTTGTTGGCAAAATGTGGCAGCCAATTGCGCACAGCAGTATCCACAGTTGTGGACCAAGTGACCAAATTATTAGTATTTATTTTTTGGGGAAGGGATTATCACGCCCCGAAAGCGATCCACCAATTGACTAACAACTGTGTTCCTATTTACTGCTAGCTACAGAGGTGTGCGGAGTAAGGAAACTTGCCTAAGGTTTTGCCCTGCCTCGGGAATCGAACCAGGGTCCTCTTGCTTGCGAGGCGAGTGCTCTAACCACTACAATACACAGAAAAAAAAATGTCTTATATTCTTATAAAGGTGTGTGTGTGTGGGCGGGAGGGAGGGAAGCTAATTTCAAGCTTTAAAGTCACTGCAGTGAATGAATGAATGAATGTGCTGAGTTTAATATATAATTTCTCACATGCTCTAATGACCAGATATTAGCAAATCCACGTTCTCAACGGGAAATACAAACAAATGCCTTTTACAATTAATTGTAGGGCTTGCCACAGTTTACTATAGATTGCCGCAGGTCCTGTATATGGGTTATGAAGTACGGTTTTAATGGCGAGATTAACTGCGTGTTGCCTTATTTTAGGCACTCAGCAGAGACGAGCGGAGAAAATTATGCTTTTTTAAATGTGCAATCATCCTCTCAGACACTCCATGTTATTGTTCAACCTTTTGTGTTGGCTACACAATGTAAAAGGGAAGCATTTGATTATGTCACCAATTACCACTCGATGTGAGTGACTCACTTCAAATCCAACTTCACTCCAAATTAGCACCGACACTGAGTGCAATCATTTGAGATGAGACTAGGGGGAGTGATTGCCCAAATAATAATGTGGTCACTCAATCCATGACTGTTTGTCAGATGCTGTTGTGCGCAATCGGCTGTCGTGTTTCGCCCACAAAATACACAGTCAATTCACTTTGCAGTGTATTCTGTGAAGCGCTTTGAAATGTCTCAACAACTTGATAAGGCGCTACATCGAATGTAAGGATTATTATTATTATCTTTTATGAAATGAGCTACAGACGACTGTCTAATTCCCCTTTCATCCTTGACTCCACATCCAAAAGTAAAACAAAAATAATCAGATGTATATTTTGTCTCTTTAGTTCCTTCCTAATGAAAAAGATGTCTTATATTCTTAAAATGTTATTTAAATCAGTATGCACATTAAATCTTTGCTTTCCCTGATCTGTAGATCAGNTTTTTCAAGGGTATAAATGGTCCCAGAACCCACACAGACACACACACCAGCATGTAATTTCTTTGTCCATCACATTCGAAAGTAGTGAGTGCATCATAAAGTATTGATCATAAAATCCTCTGTGGATAGAGAGGAAAAGAAGACTGCACTGAGGTGTGGCTTGAGCCCACAAACCTTCTGACCCAGACATTTTTAGTGCGTAGAGGTTGTCTGATTTACAACACACTTTGTTTTCTGTGCAAGTGAATTAAATCTAATTGGCTTAATTAATAAATACATGAAAAACAGAAAAGATAAATTCTCCATCCACAATGTTGTTTATGCTAATAGATTTTGTTCTAGGTCACTATTGACCAGGATAATTAATCTGAACAATAAGATTGTGCGCAGCTGTGCACCTAATATAATAATCCTTGCATTTGATACAGTGCAGTTCACGTCAGGAGGATGTCTCAAAGTGCTCAAAGTGTAGTGACTGCCCAATTTGTGGGTGAATTTGGCAGCGATTTTGCGCATAGCGACATCCCACAATCAGCCATGAAGTGAATACCCAATTTTATTGTGTGTGAATTACTATTAATAATAATAATACTCGCAGTTGATAGAGCGCCTTATCACATTGTTAAAACACCTCAAAGCTCTCCACAGAATATATTGTAAAGTGAATTGACCGTGTATTTTGTGGGCAAAACAAAATACAGTCAATATCACTAGAGGTGTGATTTGAAGGTTTAATAGCTTGTATGAAGGTTGGTTGAGGTCTTAGCGAAATGTAGTAAATGGCTCAGACAAAGGGATTTCACCTGATCAAAAATCTAAACCGTCCGTTCCTTCGAGGAACAAAGTCGTTTGGCAGAACAACCGTCGCTCTGTGCTTTACACCATCAAGAGACAACAAATGGAAAAAACAGCGTTCTCAATTACAGTGGGCAGAACAGGACAGCAGGGAAAAAGAGGAGCACTGCTGTGATACCTGAGTGATTACAGGAGGTAAAATCAATGCCACACTTAGTCCATTTTTATTCCCCACACACNAAAAAAATTCAGAATCCTAGAATGGAACAGTACAAAAAACCCACACCATCCGGTCACATCGGGTTTGCGCTGTTGAGTTTCTCTCGTCCCTACACAATCCTGATCCATTGTGGAGCTAAAATTGGTCAATTTCCAAACGTGGATGTTTAACTCAATAAAAATGCTGACACGTTATCAGGAGTGGGGAGTTAGGCATATGTACAATACATAAATAAATGCCTCTGAGATATTGACAGCATGATGACTTAAGGGGTAGTGAGTGACATGTTAAGCCACGGGCAAGTTATCAGAAGTTTATTGTATCTCTATATATATATGTATAGGTGGAGTTAAAGATACATAATCATAATGATCTTTGCACGTCGTTGAGAAGTCTCAAAGCTCTTCACAGAATATACGGTAAAGTGGAGTGACTGTGTATTTGTGGGTGAAAGATCCAATAATTTGGAGTCCTGTAGCTCAGCGGTTAGAGCACTCGCCTCGCAAGTGAGAGGACCCAGGTTCGATTCCCGGCAGGGCGAAACATTGGGCAAGTTTCCTTACTCTGCACACCTCTGTTTACCTAGCAGTAAGTAGGAACAAGGTTGTTAGTCAATTGGTAGATCGCTTTACCGGGGGTAATAATTCCTTAAAAAAAAATGATTCGGTCACTCAATCCACGACTGTTTGTGGGACACTGCTGTGCGCAATTGGCTGCCGCATTTCACCCCCAAAACATGCAGTCAATTCCTTTTGCAGTATATCCTGTGAAGCGCTTTGAGACGTCTCGAAGACGTGATAAGGCGCTATATCAAATGCAAGGATTGTTATTGTTATTATAATCTCATTGGAGACGAGGATGGAGTTTCTCCCGGTTTCCTGGTCAACGGGTTAATTGGTCAATGAAGGATAAGTTGCAGTGTTCAAGTGTTGTATAATTTCTCCCTCCCTCCCTCCTCCTGTAGGTACACCAAGATGAAGACAGCGACCAACATCTATATTTTCAACCTGGCCCTAGCGGATGCGTTAGAATTAATTACGTTGCCCTTCCAGGCCACAGACACTCTCCTTGGCTCCTGGCCCTTTGGGAACGTGCTGTGCAAGATCACCATTTCCATTGATTACTACAACATGTTCACCAGCATCTTCACTCTGACGGTCATGAGTGTGGATCGCTACACAGCCGTGTGTCACCCCGTCAAGGCGCTGGACATGAGGACTCTGCACAACGCCAAGATCATCAACGTCTGCATATGGGTCCTGGCTTCCGTGGTGGGAATTCCCGCAATGATTTGGGGATCAGCTGAATCGGAAAACAATGGTAAGTCACGAAAGAGGGCGAGAGAGAGGGTGGGGCGAGAGAGAGGGCGAGAGAGGGGGTGAGAGAGAGAGACAACGCCAGAGGACCCAGGTGCAATTCCCAGACACGGAAAAACCTTAGGCAAGTGTCCTTACTCCACACACTTCTGTTTACCTAGCAGTAAGTAGGAACCCGGTTGTTATGTGATTGATGGATCGCTTTTCCGGGGTTAATAATCCCTTCAAAATAAATAATAATAATAATTTTGGTCACTCAATCCACAGCTGTTTATGGGGCACTGCTGTGCGCAATTGGCTGGCAAGTTTCGCCCACAAATACGCAGTCAATCCACTTTACAGTAAAATCTATGAAGCGTTTTGAGAGTTCCTTAATGCAAAGACAACAGCAACAACAAAATTACATTTATAACAGCTCCTTTCACATTAGAAGGACGTCCCAAGGAGACAAATGGCAGAACATTTTAATGTTAACGTACGTTGTCTTCTTTTCTCCCCGTCTTCCCTCCCCTCCTCCCTGTTTTGTCTGTTTTTCCCTCTTTTCTCCAGCCGTGGAGTGCCTACTGGTTCACCCCCAGCCCCACGCGTACTGGAAGCCCACCATTAAAATCTGCGTCTTCCTCTTCTCCTTTGTCATCCCTGTCACCATCATCACCGTCTCCTATACCCTGATGCTCAGGAGGCTGCGGAGCGGGCGGGTGCTGTCGGGCTCCAAGGAGAAGGACAGGAACTTGCGACGCATCACCCGGATGGTCCTGGTGGTAGTGGCCGTCTTCATCATCTGCTGGACTCCCATCCACATCTTCGTCCTGGTGTTGGCGGTCAGCGGCCCCCCAACCAGCGTAGCCATCATGGGCAGCCTCCACTTCTGCGTGGCCCTGGGCTACGCCAATAGCAGCCTCAACCCCGTCCTCTACGCCTTCCTGGACGAGAACTTCAAGAGGTGCTTCAAGGAGTTCTGTTTCCCGTCTGCCTTCAAGAAGGACCTCGCCGCGTCCAACGGGATGAGGAGCATCACCCGGGGTGCGGCTTATTCCCTCAAGAACACAGATCGGACCGAGAACGTGGCATGACTAGACGTGGGCAGGGCCCCTTCACCCACGGGCCAGCAGGAGAGCAAGATGAACTCCAACGTGGAGTTGACTCAGATAACAGCTTTGTGAAAAGAAATAAACCCCCTTTAGTGGGGAGGGTTGTTTTTTTTCTGGTGGTGCAGGACAGTGTTATGAAAATGGACGAGCCTGGATTCTGGGAAAGTGAGGGGGCTTTGCGTCTGTCTTGAGAATCATTGCGGATGACAGGCTTTCAAACTCGGTAATGATACCCAACAAAGTCATCATCTACTCCTGCTGCTGTCCCTATACTGATCCTATGGCGCCCATATCACCAGGCACTCTCCAAGCCCTTCACGGGGAATTGTTGTCAAGTGTAGTGACTGTGGATTTGAGATTAGAGGCTGTTGGTTCTGCAAATCCGCAAACAGCCAACCAAGCGTACAGCCCATTCATCAAGAGGACTGTCGGCCCAGGACACTGGGAGTGAGAGACTCCCATCTCTTTTCCAATAGCGTCACCAGATCTTTAACGACCACCTCAACAGGCACTTCGGTTTAACATCTGACCCAAAGGACGGCATCTGAGATAACCCAGCACTCTTCCCATTCACCCACTCCCCCAACCTCGTTGTGGAGTGTCAACCCGGACTTTGAGATCAAGTCACAATGTGGGGTTTGAACCCCTAAGAACATAATAACTTACTCAGCGAAAGAAGACCAAGGCCCATCCAGTTCGGCTTCCACCATCCTGCCCGTCGCTGGACATGTTGCGTCCCAAACTAGATACTGTATTTCCTCTGCAACCTCTAGACTCAGAGGCAAAAGTACTAGCAATGGAATCAAATATGGAATGTCTTAATGCAAGACTGGTGGTGGGAGTGGGCAGGAGGGTTGGTGGTGGTGAACAGGGGGTTTGGTGGTGGTGGGCAGGGTGGGTGGGCAGGGGGTTTGGTGGTGGTGGGCAGAGTGGGGGAGAATATTTATAAACACTCTCTGTCTGAGGCAGAGATTTCTCACCAAATATACACAGCAGCTCTCAAGTTTGTATAATGCCTCTCCATGTGAGAAAAAGAACATTGAGTTTGGTTGAACGGGTCAGCGGTTCAATGGGAGCGGTGGGAGGGGTGGGGGGGAGGAGGAGTGGAATATATTAACCCTTTCGTTTCCAGAACATAATTGTGGTGTTTTGCCAGATTAACAGACGTCAGATAAATGTCTCGCCTCTTCAGTAGCTGCAGCAAGAAGGCGTGTTCCTATGATTCAGGATTCAATTTCGAAACAATTCGGAATACTGCATAAGCACACCAGGCGAACTACGGCAAAGGATCTTTTGGACGCATGTTGCTAAATGGAACCCACCGTTTTGCACGGCGACAGCATAAGACATAAGACAGCTTTCCTGCTAACGTGATGTTTTAAAAATGCATTTGCCGCACAGCCTGATTGGAACAACGAGAACAATTCCTGCTCACCAACACCTCAGAGTGTTGCGCTTGACGCAAAGTACTTTTTAATTTCGATTCATTTCCGATTTAAAATCAATCGTCTGCCTTATTTATTGATTGATTGACTTATTTATTTATTTTCAATTCGCTCTCCCGTACAGCAAACCACTGAAGCTTGGCTTGCTTCCAGACAGCGTAGCGAGTTGTTATTCTGTAACCACTAACTTGTATTTGGAGTTTAGCATTGAACTGTAATGTCAGATTTAAAGAGTATTTGGGCACTTATCTATATCTTTCATGTGAAGCCGTGCATCAGTATTGCTCGAGCCTCCTGTAATCTACACGTGTGTTTACATGTTAAAATAATTTTTTAAAGTGTCGAGCCAGCAAATAGATGTTGATGCCTGTGCGTAAACCTTCAAACAGTGTCTGTCATGTGTGCAAACTACCGCGATCGCTATTAAAATATACTCGCTATCTTCTGACCGGTTGCTGCTGCCAGGCGTTTGTTGACACGCGAGAGCACGACGACACCTCGGTTTGATTTCAGCGCTCATCTCAGGCAACAATAAAGAACATTTCTGAATGAACTTGATTGTTATAATAAGAATAATTCCTGTGTTTGTCATAGCGCCTTGTCAAATCGTCGAGACGTCTCAAAGTGCTTCATACAATACGCTGTAAAGTGAATTAACTGTATATTTTGTGGGCGAAACGCGGCAGCCAATTGCACACAGCAGCGTCCCACAAACAGTCGTGGACAGAGTGGCTAAATTATTATTATTATTTTGTTTAACGGATTGTGGGGCTCTCTGTGATCCAAGACCCTCAGAGGAACCTGCAAACGATGGAATCACGAATATATTGTAAAGTGAGCTGACTGTGTATTTTGGGACAAGGGCAATAATTTGTTGTATGAGCTCGGTACCTCTTCCCCGTCTAGGAGAACAACACACCACAGGATACCGAGCTAGCACAAAGCCCCGCCCTGGTCGGCAAAGCCTCTCCAGATAATGACGGACTTTGAAGCCTCTAAAGCGTGTCATTCACGCAGCGCGATCCGCTGTTAAGGGTCAGGCGGTCTGATAGACATGGCAATCACAGGCATTCAGGTGTCTGCGCTGTTTGGAGAGAGCCTGTGGCTAGGATGCACCTGTCAATTCTAGTGTTGTTAGCTGCCGCTGTTCCATTCACTCGGTGAATGAAAGCTCTTTCTCACGTTCACTTACCCCCATTGGGACGAGACTGAACCTCAGAGGGTCTCGTCAGTGAGCAAGAATTTTATGCAGATTCGCCATCAGTCAGTCTTATGTTTGGAGGAATTGTGATCCCTGTAGAACAGTAACCCTGTATTATAAATACTTTGGAAGTAAGGCATGTTAATTAACAACAACTTGCATTTGTATAGCGCCCTATACGCAGATAGCGTCTCACAGCACTTTAAAGGGGTTAAAGGAGTGTAGAGAAAAGGTGGCAAAATGGAGTCCGTAGGGTAGTGGTTAACGCTGCTGTGTGCAAATGGCTGCCGTGTTTTGCCCACAAAATATACAGTCAATTCACTTTGCAGTGTATCCTGTGAAGCGCTTTGAGATGTCTCAATGACATGATAAGGAGCTACATCGAATGTAAGGATTATTATTATTAATAAAAGATCTACCGCGATTTAATAAACTGGTGGAACAGGATCGATGGCAAAATGCCTTCTGTCTGGTTCTACAGTTCCAGGAGTTACCCAGAGTGTCAGGAGTTAAGAGATGTTATTCCTAGCTTACTCCAAGATGTTCTCCTCGGTAAAGGACGCTAATATAAATGCAAATTGTTGTAACAACTCTGAATTCTGTTTGTCTGTGCATTGAATTAAACGTGGGCTTCGACCTTTCTTGATACAAAAGAGGTTTGTTAAATGTTTTTTTGTTTTTTCTTCGAAGCAAAGATCTCACGGCAACTGCTTCCGTACGGAAATGTTTGTCTGCGACTCTCTTCACCGTTTTCGTCACCTCCGCCTCAACTACTTCAATTCCCTCCTCACTGCTCTCCTCAGCTGCACCATCCACAAATTCAGAACTCTGATGCCCGTATACTCACCCGCACTAGTCTCCACACCTACCGTCATGCCAGGCTCCACTAGCTCCCTATCACAAAACAGATTGACTTCAAGATCCTCGCATTCCTCTACAAATCCCTTCAGGCCCTGGAACCTCCCTACCACTCCCACTTGGTTTCCCCCCCCAATCCACCATCTAATGCCTCCACGCATCTGGCTCCAGCCTCCTGCTTGTCCCTCGTCCCCCCTGCTCCACTATCGGCTGCCATGTTTCAACCACTACGCTCTGAAAGTTTGGAACTCCCTCCCTCCACCTTGCCCCCTCCTTCACCAGATCGCGCCTGAAGACCTTCCTCTTCGACCTGTTTACGCCCCCCACCACCCCACCCAGCTCAGCCACTGTCGAGCGCTCAGAGACACTGCCCTGTGTGAAGGGCGCTGTGTAAACGCAACTTCTTGGTGTTATTTTCTCTCCAGCTGTTTTACAGTTTGCTCCGCTCTCCAGCGTTCTGGAGCCCATTTCGTTGCCTGATTGAAACGTTACAAAGTGCGGGATGATCGATCCAATTTACCAACAGAAAAGAAATGTAACACCAAGGCCTCCTTACATCTCAGCTCCTGATTAAATCATCAGGAACTGCCGAGAAACTATTTCAATTATAGATTTTTTACGGTTCCCTCTCTGTACAGATTGGTTAGCCATCCAATGCAGGCGTTGTACTGTATTATTTATAGCCAGTCCTGCAGCATCACTCCCTGTAGACCCAAGCTGACAAATGATCTTGTTCCCGTCTGACTGGCACAGAACCTACAACTTGATTCATCGGTTTCCGTCTCACACACACATTTGAGATTAACCTTTCTTTTTTCTGATCAATTTAATTTAACAACAACAACGACAATAAACATTTATATAGCGCCCTACACACAGGGTAGCATCCTGGGGCACTTGATGATAATCCTTGCATTTGATATAGCGCCTTATCGCGTCTTCGAGACGTCTTAAAGGGCTTCGCAGGATACGCTGTAAGGTATCCAATCCAATCAAACACAAACCCTCTCTCTAATTTAACTGTCGTTTCTTCCCAGTTTGAACTGATGGTTGTGGGATTGAAACAAGTGTTTATAGCACCTCTGTCAGAGAGATTCATTACTGGAGGGTGGGGGTTAGAATCTCTACCTCCGAGTAGAGAAATGCTTCCTGGTGTGTGTCTTAACCTTGCCCATCACCCTTGCCCTAAACCCCCGGGTCCTGCTCCCGCAATATTTATGTGTTTCCCTTAAGACAACATAACTTTTACAGCTTATGGAGGGAGAGGGTGGACCAGTTGAAATGGAGGGAGTCTGGGGGGTGGCGTTGGGAATGAAATTGGCCCACGGTCACCAGTTGGACCACCCTTAGCTTGAAAGCAGTCCGCAGGGTTTACTTTCTGAATCGCAACGAGATCTCGCAGCAGCCGATTCAGACCATCCATTGTTAGCTGTGAGAAGGCCGGGTGTAAGGACACGTGCGTGGTGTGCATACACAGTACAGTACTGGCCAAAACACTTTGAGAGCAAGACTTGCCCTTCTGCTGCACAATACAGTAAACCAGATACAGGCAAGGTCTCCCGCTGCTTGTCCAGCTAGGACTACCCTCCCTGTTAGGGCTTTGGCTTGCAGGGTTAACAGGAGCTGAGTGGGATGATTCCCTGCCCGCAGTAACTGGTCTGCCCTTCCAAGTCCTGCTGATTGAGCCAGTCTGGATGGGATGTCATCAGCTGTGCCTGGAGAACTGCGGACAAGGTTGGCTCAGGAACTGGACTACTGAGCCTGCGGCACAGGTTTGACTTGATTCCGATATTCCGTTGCCAAGCACGTCACCTTGGAACTAGCTCAGCTTACCACCTCCTCCTCCTCCTCTTACCATCACCACCAGAGGATAGTAAAGAAGATTAAACCATTAAATAGAGCTAGTTTGATCACGTTATTGGCAGCACAGTCTTTCGCTAAGCACGTGCGTTGTATTTCTTTGCACTTTCATG